CAAACCGGGAATATACAGAACGTTATCGCCCCTTCTTTTTCATTTTCAGCATCGTCATGGGCTATCAGCCTATGAGAAAAAATTAATACATCCATTTGTGAATTTCGGCAAATCCAAACTAGTTATCCAAAGATCCTCTAAAAGCCTCTTTTCAGAAGTTTTTCCGAAATTAGCTTTCGCTGAAAGAAATATGCAACTCCCGGCTCTCCAGCTATCGTCATTCGGGCAGGGCTCGCTTTCCCCGAGCGCGTGTCTATCTCCAAGCAGACATCTCTAGGAATCTCAAAATACCATGGATTATAGGTAATCGACTACGCTGAGCATAGTAGCAACATTTGTTTTTGTGTAGAAATGAATATAACTTCGCCAGAGGCATTGTTGTGAAAAACCGGTTTTTCGCCTGTCACTACCAAAAATTAAAATCCTTACATCTCGATCAAATCTCATGCTGACTCAAGGAAATTTTCAAGAAAGGCTTAAAAGGTGCCATATGTTGTTGACCACGCCGAAAAAGTGATCCAGCAGAACATTGATGCTCTGAGGGTTTTCAGAAGGTTTCTGGAAAACCTTAAGCCAATGCCCAGCTCACATTCACCTTTTTCGTCTTCGATTATGTTTTATGAGCTGTCGTGAGCGTTTACTGAAAATTTTCTTGAGTCAGCATGAGGTTTGATCGAGATGTAAGGATTTTAATTTTTGGTAGTGACAGGCGAAAAACCGGTTTTTCACAACAATGCCTCTGGCGAAGTTATATTCATTTCTACACAAAAACAAATATTGCTACTATGCTCAGCGTAGTCGATTACCTATAATCCATGGCATTTTGAGATTCCTAGAGATGTCTGCTCGGAGATAGACACGCGCTCGGGGAAAGCGGGCCCTGCCCGAATGACGATAGCTAGAGAGCCGGGAGTTGCATAATTTTGCAGAGTAACGTCCGAACTATCTATGCATGCAAAAAAATTACTAACACTGTATGTTAGTTTTCTGCGAACGTAGCTGATTTTCCAAAGATCCTCTGAAAATCCGATCTCTGAAATTTTTTCAAAAGTTGCTTTCGCTTGTGAAAGTTCTGCTCAAGTCTTGGCTATTGAATAGCGAAAATGGCAGGTCTCTATCTCATTCCTGTCAAAAGTTATTCAGAAAATGCCCACGGGTCTTGTATTTTGGGATGGATAGTAGTTCAGGGTATAGAATTTAGTGCATTATGAAGAGGATTCTTCAGGCTCTTAAATCATGTACTTATCTAAAAAGAAGTTATTTTTAACAAAAATTGATAGTTCTGACGCGGAGGAGAGCCTAAGCGAATCGATTCAGAAGCTTTTCGATCTTTTCAGGAAAAGGTCGTGGGTGAAAGTGAAATCACTTGGAGATTTGCATCTATTTTAAAAACTGAGTATTAAGTCTCTTACAACTTCATCATAAAAAGGTCTTCGACCTCCACCACTGGATAAGGGATAGTTCAGTTTTTCATAAAATTGACGTCAATATAAAACAGAGACAACTTTTACAGACGCCAAAACCTAAACATTTTTTTAATGATATACTACTTGTCAGCGAAATAGATTGTGTACACGGTTTCTGAAGTCTATAACGTCTTTTTGAGCATTTGGTTAAAATACTTATTTAAATCTTTTTAAGTTTATGAAGCTGAATTTGAAAAGAAACATAGATTCTTGACGAGCACTGAGGATATTGTTCATGGTTATATCCACCTTTCTTCATCTGATTCGATAATTTAGAATAGTTTCTAATAATCATGATATAACATCACGTAATCAAATTCCAGTATTGAACTTTCTACCATTTATATACCTCTGAGTGTGGACCACGACCCACTTTGAGTCTGGATAAAGTATTTTCATGTTTCCTTATTGTAGCTAATGTTTGTTTTACTGGGCCACATGCTAGTTACAAAGATAACCATGTATAGGGTCAAACATAGCATTGGATAAAAATAAAACTGAGTTTATTACAGGACTTTTGGATTCACCGCTGATAGAACCCCACAGATGATTCAGCTTTCACGCCGCACTGATTGGCGACTAGTGTCACTGATTTTGATTACAGATCCTAGTCATGCGACACATTCTTATGTCTGTATGCTCATATTAGATGACCATGAATGTAATTCTTATTTAACTATTTGAAGAAACAAAGCAACTAGTACCACGTAAAAAATTATACGCTAATAGAAACTGCAGTTAAAGGACGTTACAAACAAAATAAATGAACACTTCAAATGTATTCAGACTTAACTCGAGTGACTTTTGTTTGAAACGATGCGTTTGCTCTCAATTTGTTATATTCAAAATAAAAAGCGACAGAAGTTAATGGGATGTTTCGTTTTTCAGAGTCCATCCTTCCCACACTAGTTTATAATGATATCTTGTTCGATGTGTTATCTCGAGTGATTGTTCAATTTGACAGTAAATACACGATGTATCCCTCAAAAATCCAACGTGTGTAGCAAATTGAATATTTCGAAAATATTTAATGAGATTGTTATTGATCAACGATGGCAATACTTCAAATTCGCATCCTTCACAATTGACTGATAGCATATCGATCATTCCGTCCTTAGTTCGTGTGCGTCTTATTTTCTCAATGGCCTCTACAACATTGATTATTTCAATGTGTTGTATTGTTGATGAATTGTACTTTGTTATCTTTCGAAACATACTCGTTCCTTCATTGTGCGCAGCGTACGGTTCGATCAGAATTTTACGTGCTCGGTTACCCATCCCATATGGATGAACTTCAACTTTTGAATTATTCTGAAATTTTTTTACTAGATCCTTGTAAATTGGTATCAATGGTTCATAGATGATGAGAGAACAATTATATAGTTTGATGAAACGACTGCTGTCTTCACCAATATTCCCACCGATTTCTACGATCAATGATGATGAGTTTATGAAACCTTTGTGTATAGTGTGTCGAATATTCATGACTCCCCAAAAACTGTGATCTTGACGCCATTTTAAACACAGCTGATATTTTTTAGCGTTGATGTAGGACAGATTTGACCAATCTGAACAGGTAAACTTTCGATCATTGTATTTAAAGGATAATGGCGCGACCAGCCGTATAGTAGAAATAAAATTTATTTTCACAACCAAGGTTGAAATCACAATAAATATTATTACTGTGATGATGAAACACATTTTAATATTAAATACTAGTAATGATGATGATTTTCGTTGCTGTGGTTGTGTTTCGGCTGATGATGCAGATATTTGTGGTAGTAATAACTGCTGATTTGACGATAAAGCCATTGAGTGTATATTTATTAGTGTAAAGATCTACAATATAATATATTTAATTTGTAAGGCACAGGAAATTCAAGGTTTAAAAAGAATTTATTTATGCTATATGAATATATAGTCGGATAGAGCTCTTCGAGCTGAACAAGAATCTGTGTATTTTAAAGTTTCGAATTCAATTTCTAAAGTCGAAAATTTCAAAAAAGAGAATTATAGCTAGAACAATAAAGAGAGTGTCAATCTTCTAGTTCTCCTGAAAAGTGGGAAAGAGAAAAAGTCTGGCTGATCCAATTTATATTCAACGATAAAGAGAATTTTAATTACTTTTTTCTCCTTACTATTACTAATATCACCTAACGAGTGCTCCAGATTAATTTACGGGCTTTTGCGTTAAATTTGATCAGAAAATTTCGTCTGAATATTAAAAGGCTGAGAATTTTGCGTAGATGTTGATTATATATTGATATAAGTTTTATTATATTATATAATTAAGAGAAGAAAAAAAATACTGGATAAAAGACATATGAAGAGAACGAAAAAAAAGAAAAAAACCCATGAGATCATTTTGACTGCTCTGTAATATACACTGATATAAAGTTACAGAAGGAGAAAGATCGACGCAGATACATTCATTTTCTAGCACGGTTAGATAAAAATATATCCACAGAATATACGCACGCGATATACATACAATGAGAAAGTGAATGACTAGAAAGAAGAAAATGAGAAGGTAAAAGTATAACAAATCAAAGCAAAATCAGAAAAAAGAAAAAGAACGAGAACTGAAGAGGAGAAGGGTAAATATGGCATAATGGAGACCGGTTAAGAGATTGTTTGGGGTTCAAAAACGTTCAGTATTTTTTACAACTATGTTTTTGTGCCAATATAAACATTACACTAACATAACCTCGGGAGCCATGATCTAACACAAATATATCATCCTAATGTAACATGTAAATGTCAGAAAACATCAGTGCTAGATATCTTTCAATGAATCATTTCCTTTTGCCTCAAAGAATCCAGTCTAATGTTTTTTCGGTATTATTAAATAAAATATCTTTCATCATAGTTGCATCATTATTACTAAAATCCGATAAATATGGTCCAATATAAGAAACACTGTAGCCTGTAGTTCTAACAATCATCATTGGTTTTAATAAGCTACGTTTTAATAATTGCTACAATCAAGACCAATCGTACAGAGATGTTCTGAAGCTGTTCTTCAGTAATCTCTGTGTGGGTGATGTGGGATCACATCGAAAAGTCACTAACACCAATTTGGATTCGTGACTGCCCTTTGTTTTGTTCCTGCATCCTTTCTCTGCTTTGAAACACTTCTGAATTGTGCCAGCAGAGATCTGATCCTGTCTTCAACAAACTGAAACGCTTCTTCGCAATGAGAATTTTCCATAGCAGCAGAATGACGAAATTCATTATTTTTTTTTCACCCGAGTTTGTGGAGACCTACTAAACAACCTGTGTGGCCATCAGTTAGCATGACCACCGTATTCTACATTGTTTCTAACATACACATGTGAAAACTGAAAATAAATAAAAAAGAGCAGTTTTGGAAAAAAACGTCTTTTTTTCAGTAAAGTCTACCTTTCTTCATGAGGAAAGAACTTTTTTTAAAAAGAGATGCATACTTTTATTGCCCTTCAAATGGTGATTCGAATAGCGTATGACGATCGGAGAAAAGTTTCGAAACCAGGGAGGAGATAGCTTTACGAGAGAGGATGCTCATTTTGTAGAGTGCTTACTCCTGTCAGAAATGTGCCACACAGGTATTTTGGTTTTTGTGACTCAATGGTACACGATTAGGCTCAGTTTTTGATGGAGAACCCGAATATATCAAATTCGAAAGGTTACAGTGAACGAAAGGTGACAAAACCTCAAGTTTTCTAAGAGGAATGCAAATTTGTTTTTTCGGTGCTCTTAGTATTTTGAGAATTTCTTCCCAAAAACTTGATCGAAATCGCAAAAAAAAGGTGGTGTTCGGGATCGGCGCAGTCAGGAGTATCTGAATATGTAGCTTTCGACAAAAAAATGAGATAGTGCTCGATTTTTGAATTGCGCGCACCTTAGAACAAATATGAAAAATGTTAATGTCGACGGTAAATAGTAAATGAAGTATTCGGCTAACTGCAGATAGAGGAGAGCTCTCGTTGATTTCATACAAACATACGTAAGTGATATGGTAGTGCTGATGAGATGAAGAGTACAGAGCTGATAATCAAATGTCTGTGCTGATTTAGTTACTGCTTACATACGACACGCTGCTGTTGTCGGTGAAGGGATGGTTTCGTTTGCGTAAATTTGATGATGAGTAAAACAGTTGAGATAAAGTTAATTAGAAACGGTACACTTAGATAGATAATATTGACTGCCGCATCATATTTTCTTAACCAATTTTGATAATTACCAATGCATCATGGTCGTCGATCTTCAACTAATACTTGTCCATGTAATGGATCATGAATGGCTAACGTCACACTCACCAGAATAATAAACAACGATGTGTATTTAGCAACATTTTGACTGATGTCTTTGTCGAATTTAATGCCGAATAAAACTGCTGCTGCACGTTCAGTTGCAACACAGCTATTTAACCATTGAACAGCTGTGAGTAGAAATTTTAATAAAAACTCAAGTGCTAGATAACTACTATTTGAATAATGGTTCAAAACTATACGTGTATCCAACAAATTAATAACTTCAGCTAAGAAAGCAATCATATTTAATAAACCACAGATCGATGAATATCATAAATAAATTCTACATCCTAACTTTCTCGGTTTTGATTGTAGAAATGTTGTTACTCGTAGACAGTTACCAATTATACTCATATCATACCGCGCATAACCAAGACACCATAATATGCTGCAAATATGACTACATGGACCGACTGTGCGATTACCTTTCGGGCATTGGCATATCCAATCGAGAGCAGTTTTTTCATCATATTTGATTATTCCTTTATATGCTTTTCTATTTGAATGTTTGCCTTGGATTGTTGCCATAAGAATGCCTTTATCTTGAGTAGAGACAAGAATTTCATAGTCCATTTTCATCTATATGCTCGTTAACATAAGAAATGGCTTGTTTGACAGAGAAGACTCCAAGAGTAATGTCATTTAATTCAGCTAACCCCATAGGTGGAAATTTTGGAGTATCTGTAGCACCTTCCATCTTCTCCCACTTTTCCACTTTAAGAAATTCTTTGTCATTCAATTTCTCCTCCAAGACATTCTTTTTATTTCTCCTTTGAAGCATTTCTCCTGCAATATATTGATCATTTGTTGTATCTTGAATGCAAGGAGCTTGAAATGCATTGATCAGAGCTGCAACAATAGAAATGTAATCAAATATGTAAGGAAGAGTAGAATTTGGAACAATCTTATCTAGATATTTGAATTGTTTGAGACGTCCATTTGCTGCTTCCACAATCCACCTAATAACAGTAATCATTCGATTGTCATTTGCTTGTTCACTTGTATATTTCTTTTCTTTAGGAAGAAAGGCAGGCATGTAAGATAATCCAGATCATGAATTAAAGGAAGAATATCTCTAAATCCCCTATCAACAACAATAACATCACCGGTTAAAGCCAGTCAGTAATTCCGTCTTCGTTGGTTCGAAGTGCATGATTCGTAATACTGGCATCGTTGTTGTACCAGTCACCCATGTAAGGACCCATGACCGATAAAATGTAACCTGTTGTTGAACAAATAACCATAGGCTTTATCAATGGCCTATTTTTGTGGAGAGAGAATAATTTTCTTTGTAGAATATTGTTGGCACTCTTCTGTACATAAATATAAGTTCCATCCATGATAATAACTGCTACATCTTTTCCATCAGCAAGTAATTCTTTGGCTAAAGGACGAGTATGATTTCGAATAAGGGCTTGTCTACTCAAATGATCAGGTCCAAAGCCTAAATGAAAAGGAACAAATCCATGCATGAGTGCAATTCTGGCACTTTCTAATACATGGCTGATTGTTTTTTTATCTTCGAATTTGAAGAGAGAGGATAATACAGAATTACTTAGCCCTAAACGAAGTTTGACAAGTAAACAACCAATAGCTATTCATATAGAACGATTTTCGGTATTTCTCATGTTAATTCGTTGACAAAGTAAGTTAAAATAATCTTTATAGATTCCAGTTAGAGTCCAGTAATCCTCATCAGTGTAAAGAAAGTGGCTATCAAAATTGATAGGAATAGGAACATCACTTGAACATAGACTGAACTTTTTAAGTTGAGAACCGAGTTCAGTGATAAGACTCATATATTGATTTATTGATATAGCAGAAATAGATTTGTGATTTTGTTTAATTACCGCTATAGCAGATGACTTAAGAATTTCATTTTCAGTATGACGACTACAGATTGGAACATCTGGTCGCAAGTAAATAGATTCTTGTATCAGAACAGAAAGATGTGCTGTGTCCGATATTTTAATAATTGAGGTACGTCCCGTCCTCATGGATCACATATAGCACATTTCTTGTACGATAATGGAGGACAACAAAGTGGAAGAGAAACGGTATCTTGTTGTAAAAGTGTGCACATAACAGCGACATTAGAAAATTCTTGTTTTTCTGTTTGTGTCGGTGTATCTTCAGTTTGTTAAAGTTCCATACTTTCAACACTTCTATACCGACTGATAGCAGCTAATCCTTCTGTATGAACATGTGTAGAAGGTTGTGAATCATTGATATGTTTGTGTCCACAAGCATTGCAAATACACGTTATATTCAATGGTCGTCAGAATAAAAAATTGTGTAATTCGTTCAGTTTGGCAGTAGGCATGCACCAGTTTTTAACTGGTGTTGGGGCATTCAGGAGAATTGCTATAAATCAGTTATCACGATTCCTCAGAGCTGTAAAACATCTAATTTTGTAGAAAAATGTTTGCTCTACAAAATGTATTTGTTAAAAGAATTCCAGAATCATTTCTAAGAAAACTCGGAGTATTCAAAAATACATTAAATTCCGGAAAAAAAACTCTTCGAACAGTTTTTTTTTCGTAATTTAGTACATTTTGGAATGCTCTAAGTTTTCTTAGAAATGATTCTGGAATTCTTTTAACAAATACATTTTGTAGAGCAAACATTTTTCTACAAAATTAGATGTTTTACACCTCTCAGAGAATCGTGATAACTGATTTGTAGCAATTCTCCCGGATGCCCCAACGCCGGTTAAAAACTGGTGCATGCCTATTTGGCACGTGGTTCAGGATAGTTGTCCAAACTATACGACCGATCATTCCACATCTTTCGTGGTACGACATGATAGAAAAAGGTTAGCTCCCAAAAGGGCTGTTGGGCTTTTTAGATAGAAAGAAAATTTGGAGGTAATAGATCGACGAAGTCACAGGTCGCGGAATTTCTAAAAGAAGAAGTATAATTTGTGACTTCGGAGAATAAAGCAACTGAAGGATAGCTTTGTAGTGATTGCTTAAGAAAGATATTTGATACACCCCGGGAACCCCGACCAAAGATTGCATTCGTAAGTAATGAATGCAGCTCTTTTGTTTCGACCTTTCCCAAGGGTCTCATCGGGCGGTTTTACGTTATTTTTTTAAGTATCCAGCCACACCAACAAAAAGAAGTAACAGCGCATACATGCAGAAAAACTGTATCAGCGAACGGTCAAAGAAAGTATTGTGGACAATTTTAAGCTTTTCACAATATGCAATCATGTCTCCGATACAGATGGTATCAAAGAGATGTTACCAAGAGATAGATCGTCAAAACCTGTATGTGGATGAATGTGGTCATTGCATCTTCAAAATTGAAAAAAACTGACGAAATGAGTAGAAAAAATGAAACAAAGCATGAAATCAGGCTTACTTGAGTTCTTGACCCCCTTGTACATCTCCTTTTCAATTTCTGAGGCTGCAATCGGATAGAGCATGCAAAGTAGCATCTACTGGCGACGCTTCGAGTTGCGCGCGCTATGTTAAAGGGGTCAAAACAACAAGGTACTAGTGAAAAACCTGTTTTTCAGCCGCATTTCGGAGTTTTTCTACTTAAACAGCTTCAAAAGTATTCTTAAATTACATCAGTCGAATCAGCTTGAAATTCTGTGTCGATTGGTGCGCTTTCATGAATATTTCCATGCTGCTAGAAGAAAAAACGAATTTATACTCGATTTTGAAGGATTTTGAAAAAAGTCAATAATTTTAAGTTTTTGCTGGAACCGAAACTTTCTGTGCGCCCCGATCTTCATATTCGTGATCAGCACGGTTGAGTACATATTCCTATATGCAATTCAAGTTAATCAAAAAGAAAAACTTTTCCAAAATCCTTGAGGAGGACCACAGGCCTCAAAAAACCGATAGAAAGATTTCGAGAAACTAAGTGTCAGGAAATGTTCCTAGACATGCCCTGACATGATTCCAAAAATATTAGGGGACTGAAACTACCCTTATCCGCCCTCCTCCTTTCGGATGATTACCATCTTCTAGTTTTACACAAGAAAGAAATGCTCACAGAATCAAATGCCGTTGTGAGTTTGTCTAATAGATGCCCATCTGTCCGTGAATTATTAGATAAAGTAGTTATGTCATTTGACAGGCTAAGACGGGTTAAATTCTATCAACAACCATGTCTTAAACATCCGTATGTACTAAAATGTATCTATGATGAAAAATGGATATGTTTGCGTAACCACTATACTGTTTGCTTTTCGTTTGATCGGCAGATGTATTCGTGCACACAGCAGAGTGAGAAAAAGATTTGTGTAAACGACGATCTGTGCATTCAAGATGATGCTGATTATCCTCGAGCAACAATGTGTAAATGTAAAGAATGTTACTATGGTACATTCTGCCGACTAACTATATTCGGCTTTGGAGGTTTATCACTGGATATAATTATTGGATCGTATATAAAGTTGGGCAAAAGTCAGCCGTTAATCATTCAAATAAGCATTCTTACTGTTTCCTAATGTTTTTATTTGGTTTAATTGGTAACTGTCTACGAGTAACAACATTTCTACAATCAAAACCGAGAAAGTTAGGATGTAGAATTTATTTATGATATTCATCGATCTGTGGTTTATTAAATATGATTGCTTTCTTAGCTGAAGT